AACATTACCCGTCTCCCAGAATCGAACAACTTGAATAACGTCTCTTGGAAACCTGCTACCAGAATCAGTCACTTGTATAATTTTCCAAGCCACTGCCCTATGTTAAACTTAACACCAGAGAGACTGGTTAGGATCACGCGACAACTGGTGAAGCCGACTTAAGAGATCAATGAATGCTCGCCGTAGATCCTGCTTCAGTTTTTATCGAGGCCTGTACCATAAGCTCGAGACTTAAACCAATCGTGTTCATTAAAGCGAAATGTTGCTACAAAGTATAAACCTATACCGGATCAACCATTGCTTTTACACTGATCGAGTAGTTCATAGTACGGGTCCTGATCTTTTTAATGACTGGCTTCAAACGCAGCTTCTGACAATCACTTCGATAAAAACATGTTCGGCTTGATCAGGATGTAGTTAAGGACTGCAAGACCTTTTTATACTAATTTTGTCTCTAAACTGTTGAATCCTATAAACATTTCGATATTACAACAGGATAAGTCATTATTTGTGTTTAAATAAATACCTTTACCATGTGTAGTTAGATTCTTTTAGTCATTTGTTTTTATATGATCTTAGTCGAAGTCGGAAAGCCAAGGTTAAATAGATTTAAAAAAAATGACAATAAAAAAAACGGAAGTGAAGCAGTCACTGCTGAGAACCGCGCACACGCGAAACTACTTCTTATAACTTAGTTTAGTACTCATAATATTGCAAGTTAGTTTGTGGTAGGCCAAAGATGTTGCAACTAAATATCATTGGGGTAGGCCCAAGCTAAAGTCTTTTGTCTCGAATGTTTTCCTGTTTCATCTTTTACTGCTAACAAATAATTATGATCGATTTCATTCCGCAGGGACTCCACTTTAAAACTTCAGAATTTGTTGTCGATAACGTTCACCCGCTTCTATCAAATACCTATTCTCTCATCCTTGCTTCCATGGTCGTTTCGATTCAGCGTATCTAAATCATCAATTCGAATCCACAATCACGCAACGTACTCGGGAACACTTTCACAGTAATTGATTGTAATCATCGAGATGTTGCCAATGATAAGTTTGGCTTTATGGCACTGTCGTCTGTAGTGATTTCATTGTATTCATTGAGGTGACAATTTGCATTTGCAATGTATTATGGAAGAGACAATTGCGGTTTTTATGAATGATTCTAATTATAGATTGGCTAACTAATTTATCTTACTGGTACTTTTTTGTTTACGTCCGCCAAAAATATGAGTGGTGATATTTTCTCAATGATAACATCAATTTTGTCAAGTAACTACTTAAACAGTTTAAACAAACTCACAGATTGATATAAATTTTTTTTAAGTTTGATTTAATATTTTCACTTTTTATAACCATTATAATGAGACAAGATGGACTTTAAAACTAGACTTATGGAGCATTAATTTGATATATTATCACGTATGATGTATATTCTCAAAGTTTACTTCATTATAGTTGGATGTAATTTACTGTTGCGTGATGTTTTTGTACGATGGAAAGGTGGTAATTATTTAGAAATGCTAACGATTAATTTCAAATTTTGCATAACATAATGTGAAATTTTACGTAACTCAAATGTAAACCACAAAATATTTGCTAACGTTCAAAGATAAGGTTAGCACTATCTAGTAACCGTAAAAGTCTGATGGGTGATAAAACTAATGGGTTTCTTGTTTGCTATTAAGCTATTGTGGCAACTAATCAAATTAATTGGAAACTCAAATGCGTGGGGACACTAAAGAGTTAAAAAGCTTAGGACCGCATTTTAAATTATTATGTGCAAAAGTATATGCAAAACAAATAAGGTAAAAACATGACAACGTGTATGAGTTATTCTCAGAAGAAACATTTAAATCACTACTGAGAGAGCTTGTGGATCTTTTGTTTCATCTTTCTTTACTGACAATCAGTATGTAAGACGTTATTCCTGCAATTTTGGACACCATGTTTGGGAACGGAAATTTTAATATTATGCAGCAGCCGCTACATGATGTAGACAGTATAATTAACAAGTATAATCATAAAAACCGAGTCGTATTCAGACACATTTGACATATTCACGTACATTTATGACGCTGACACTACACTATTATACTAAATTTCACTCTAAATTCAGATAAAACGACGAAAAAGTTCTTGCTTCTTGTATGGATGCCACTTTTAGCATTTCTTGTAAAAGTCAAAGCAGTAATAAAAATAAATAGGCTATAAAAATTCTACCGTCTTTCTATTTTGATTAATGACACAATGACATGGGGTCTATCACCCCTCTGACACATAGACGGACAGAGCACTTTTAGTTAAATAGAGTACCTTTGTGACCCATTGGATACGACTCTCAAAATCTAAACAAGACTCTAAAAATGAAGAATAATTTTATATCGGTATCAAAATTTTTAAAAACTTTTGGTATAAAGCATAAATTCTTAAAATTACAATCCCAGCACCAAAAACAAGGTCGAGGCCATTAATTTTTTTTAACTTCAACATTAACAAATCATTGTTTAGTTTTGTTAATTGAATTCGTACAATACGACGACCTTAGTCTGAACTCGGCTGTAATCTGACCTTTGTTTTTTATTCAAATGTCTATGTTCTTGCAGATGTGCAAATTGCTTTAATAATGGGTACGGTCGACCGATCGATCGTGTTCCTTGCGCACGTTAGTATTTATTTTGTTGACCTTTTCTTATTCTTATCAGACTTCAGTGAGACTGTGAGTCAATTGTTAGATTTCTGATCTTCGAACGTAACTTCTGATCTTCATAATAATTAAGTAGATATTATTTGAGTAGATATTTATTTGATTCTAAATCAATTTAATTCAAAATCTCGAAACAAGAGATTATATACTACTCAATTGTGAGTTTTTTCAACTAGCATTCATTGCAACATCGATTTTTAATCAAAAGATGATTACTAACAATTTACTTTGCAAATTTGACGTGGACATCTTACTTGTTATTCACTAAATTATGTTTAAGTAACAATGAAATAAAGGCTTGATAGCTAAATACTTAGCGAGTTCAGTCTACGATCATAGAAGTTAAGCTACTTTCGCAAAATCCCGTCATAAGATCGGTAACCTAAAATGTATAAGATAAGAGATGTTCCGTGCTTAAAACGCACGTAATGTCGTTGTTCCCGACTGCATTTGTAGTCTTTAATTCTCTCCAATGGGCTCGTGCGGAGAGTCATGTCCTGTTCTTCCTATTCCATTCACTGGAAGGCCTTGTGTCCCAGATGAAGGTACATTAATAGATGATGATGATGATGAAAACTCAAATTCCTGCAGTAAGTTAGGGCAATTTGAAGGCCGTTGTATAAAACATATAGAAATAAATTCTTCACTGCTTGCTTCACTGGTCTGTTTTTAAGTAAATAACGCTCATGAAATAGGGATCTTTCACTTGGATCACTAACTTGGTATTCCGGATAATCTTCCAAATAGGTTTCTATCGAAAGCTATATTTATTTATCTATCTCTAAATGTTATAAAAGCCGTAGATGTTGAACAACCACGAGCAGGCAATTCACCTGTATTTACTCAAATGGCAGGAATTAATGCCCACAAAACGGCAGGTTTCGTAAACTCTGGTTGCGTGGGCCCAACAACGCATCGTTATTTCATAGTAGGCAGGTACTCAGTCCACCTACTTGTTTGTTGGTAAAGATCATAAATTTACTATAGAGAACTTGCAGATAGATAACGTAAGTGTTACTTATAAGGGATATAATATAACTTCACCTTTAACATTATAACCCTTGGCGAAGGAAAATAAAACACTGTAATTTAACATCCCTATATTATTTAAGTTTCTGTTGCTAAAAGGGTTTTTGATAACACTGTAGTGACTGCAGTTTTTTGTAACTGGACTCTTGTAGATTCTCTCCCTAGACTGTTTGGTAACCTCCAAGAAGTTTCCATAGCCTTATCAGGGAGCCAATCGTCTAACAGGATTGCTATAACTATCGCTTACGATTTTTATTATTTCTGACCGCCGAAGGTTTCCAAATACCTCGCACTCTTTTTTTCTTTTGCATTGGTCAGAAATAATAAATTAGGGTATTATGCGATAGCGATAGCCATAATAATCCCGTTAGGCGATTGGCACCCATAACTAAATGTCGAATCTCGTCTAAATACTCAAATCGGAACCGGCAACATTTTTTTATGTTAAAAATGTGGCAAACAATTATATGGCCCGCCTGATGCTAAGCAGCCACCTTAGCCTATAAGACTCTTACGTTGAAAAAAATATCACTAGTACCATTGCATACCCTGAACCAATCCCACTCCTAGTATCCTGGAACCTTACTCACCGACAGAAACACAATTCTGCCAAAAGGCAATGTTATTTTATTATGGTCTTCTGTAAGGTTACTTCCCCAGACGGGAGCTCCAATTCAAGCGGGAAAACCGCAATGCCTTTATTACTAATACACAAGAAGCTAGGGAGATCAAAATCAAAGGAGGATCAAATGAGTCTGAAATAACAATCTTACGGTGTAATCTTTTACCACAATGGAATTATCTCCCTTTGTATCAAATATCATTTCCGTAGCAGTAACTATATTATTACTTTTTAATTGCAATTTCGGGAATTCCCCTGTTCTTCGTCTATTGTTATAGTCTATGGTTGCTTTGTTTTCTTTTGATTTTTCAGAACAACTCATATTATTTGAATCCTTATGATTTGATTCCTTAAGTTAGATTTCATTACAAATTAAAATACCTATCTCAGTTTTTATTGTGATTGTGAGAATTGTTAAGTTCGAACCCGCTTTGTAATAGTAAGTAAGTCGTTTATGTTATAGCTTTCATAAAAGTTTACTGTTTTCACATTAAATAACAGCCTTTATGTTAAATCTACTCCGGAATTAGTGCAGATGAAAAAGAAACGCTAAAACGAGAATGTTTTAACACATCTGCAATACCTACCCGCGCAAAAAAGGCAAAGCTGCAAGTTACGAAACAACATGAAACTTTTTACTTACCATAAACGTTATGTGGGTGAAATCGCAACAATCGGGTTCCAAGAACAAACGTATTCCATCCTCCGCAAGAATATCCAGTTTGAACTCTCATTTAATTCATCACATCAGAATCTCTGCATCACATTATACTTTTTTCGTGGCGATAGCGAAGTATAACTAGTCGTCCCAATCACTGTTTAATAATATTTGTTGACACAATACGAGGTTGTTGCCTTTTGCACCAGCATCTGGACCTCACGCGACTTAGATTTCACTTTGTGTATGCAATAAGGCCGAGAACTTATTTTAGCGCGTATTTAGTTTGGAAGTTGGAAGGATAAAAGTTAACACTGGCAGGTAAGCGGTGGGTAAGGAAGCAACTGGTTGGCAGGACAAGAAAAAAAAACAAAACCCGACAACAACACAACCGCGCAGCCGCGCCGATCGCGCCAGTGTGCGTGAATGAACTGTGTAGTGCACGCTGTGCCCGCGCGTTCGCTTGGCTCGTGCGCGCGCAATCTCCGAACTAGATTGCCAGGCTCTGACTAGAATATTGTCTTGAAAAGATATTTCACATCGACTCAACCGAACTTTCAAATAGCAGAAAAAGTGCTAGTTTATTCCAAGTTTACTAACACTTTAAGGATAAGACGACCTCTATCATGATTGATAAATCATCATAACTGATAAAAGGCCCAACTTAACCTTAGCAAAATTATACATTTGGCTTAATTAACCTGTTAACTAGTACTTTCTTAAGAGTTCTGTGTTCAAAGATTGACAATGGAACCCTATACTTATACCCTATAACTAGGGACACGATATCGAATAGAAAGTATCGATACTGTACTCATGAGTAGTATCGGTAAAAAAGTATCGTACTCGTAAAAGTATCGAAACAAAAGTATCGATACTTCAAAGTATCGAGTACATGTCATAGGGCCTTATCGGAGCCTCTGTGGCTTGATGAGCACCCCACCCCCCCCTCCCCGGTGTTGAAACTGAAAGAAAAACAATCGAATTTTATTATAGTACGTATAATCAAAAACAAAAAAAGGAATGAAACATGTAAATTCACAAATTGCTATATTATATAATGAAAAGAAAACAGCTGTGATTTCTGACACTAAAATCATTAATATTACATTCATAATTAAAATGTTAATTAAAAAGATCGAAATCTTAAACAATTTAAAAGTATGAAACTTTTCAGATTTGTTTCAAATTAAACTTACTTTTCTTGAATTTTAATCATTACAAAACATTATACCCACTTATGTTAACTTGAATCTGACACGTAGTTAACGGCTGGCATTGGCATGCTTCACTCAAGATTATAATTATAGAAGAGGTTACGTCCGTCTTTTTTTCAGGTGGTTTCAAATAGATATACACAGCACAGACAGAATAATAGCGTTACACTTGAATAAATCAAATACAGTCAAGCGAAAAGCACAATAAACGGCGAATCAATCACAGTTCCTAACAATATGGTCGCTAAATAAATAACTATGAAAAAAAACAAAGCGCAAAATAAACACAGTCACAGATTGGAAAGAATTTGAATATGTCAGTTACTGACTTTATAATAACGCAATATGGCATTTGACAGAATTAAAAATAAAGTGCCAAAATAACGAAAAAGATATTAGTTTTCTTATCTATTGTCACGTGACCCAAAACGCTTGGGATTGGCGGAGCCTAAAATGACGTCACACGCAAGTAAACTTCCGGTCAAAGTGACATTACATTGTATCGTTTGACGTTTTAATAACAGTCGTGTGACCTCACACACTAGTAAGACGCCATATTGTCCAGAGAAACGTTTTCGCGGCAACTTGAAAATGGAGTTTTTGATTTGGTTATTTTTACTGAAATACACGACAGAATGATGAATATCCACTTTTTACGGACTCCATAAATATTAGTCAATAACGTGAGATCGTTGCCTAAAACTTGTCAAATACCCTCCGGAACGTTTTAGAAGGTTTGCTATGATTTAACAAGATGGCGTTGCCATCAATATGAAGCGCTTATCCAAAATTTTAAAGGTATTGATACTTGCCAAAAAGTAGTCATTTAGTAAAAGTATCGAATACAAAGTATCGAGTACAAAAGTATCGGTATCGAAAGGAAAAGTAATCGATACCACAAAGTATCGATACTTTTTTCGTGTCCCTACCTATAACTTATCCTGCATAGTCCATCCGTCCGTCCAACCGTTACAGGTAGACAGCAGAAATTCTCACAGTATCTGTATGATTATTGCCTCTAGAACATCAAATTAACTACCAACTAATAACATGCTAACTGCAATAGCTGTTTCTGCAAAACTTATTAACACCTTGTACGATGCTATGAAATCTTGACCTGAACCTTGTTGAACGTGTCCGACTCACTTAATCGTTGAAGAACAAAATTTTTCCATATTATTTTATTATCAATTATCCATGATTATTTATTAAGTCGTGTGGATCCTTTCTGATACCCCTTTCAAAGTATCTATTGTGAATAAGAAGAGACAAGAGGAAAAAATCTGTTTGAATCCAGCTGACTCCTGAGATATTCCGGTCTAGACTACGGAGCGACGTGAGCTAAGTTACGGATAGAAGTAAGCTAGGGTACGGAAAGTTGACCAGGCACGTTTAGGAATTAATCATGAGTATTCCTGAGGCGAGGCGATTACGTTATGATTCCGATTAGTGTGCGTCGCAGTGGGGACTTTCATACATACAATACTAGACAGCTCGAGTTAATACGGTGACGATCCCTTTACGATTTGATATATCCGCTACAATCATTAATCGAGCGATCCGAAACACTGTGAACATTTTTATTCTTATTCGCCTTTGCTACCTCTGTTTATGCTCGTTTTAAATGAAGATTCTTAATGCCAAGTATTCTAAGATACCAGAAATCCCACCAAAAATCAACCTATTATAAGAATAACTTTCTTAATAAACAAAACTCGCAATAGCACCGAACCTAGCAACACCAAAATCAAGATTTACCGCCGAAAGTGGCGTGCGTATCTTACGCGGCACGCACACTACGCTCGCCGCACGTTCATTGGTTAAGAAGTCGTCAAACCTCGCCTCCGCCCGCGCACCAACGTCCTTGCGGCCGCGGCCACCGACCTACGGTGCCTTGCCTACCTGCGCGCGCGCACAAGCTAGCTTCGGGCTTCGATCGCATTACATTAGGACTTTAAAAGCATTATGTGATAAGAGCTTCCTGTAACATTATAAAGCTCAAAGCTGCACTTGAAAGGCGTAACCAAAGAGTTTGTTTGTAAAAGTTTTCTAAATAAAATTAGTAGTATTCTAATTATTAGCTAAGGTTTATTCTACCTGTCGATATACAACAATGTCATTTATCGGCTTTTGCTTTTCATTGTTTATCTTACTCTTTTCATATTATTATTCAGTTATTCATCTATTCATACTGGACCCGGAGCGAAAGCACAGTCTACTAACTTTCCCCTGGCAAATAGTAAAAGTTTTCAGGCAAGTTCAATTTATAAGTTTACACTTTCCACATAATAAGCGGAAATAATACATAATACAAATCAATTAAGTTCTACCGCTATCAACAACTTACACGTTCGATAAGTGTTTCCAATTTGCCTTAACAAGTCTTTATTACAACTTTGATCTGGCATTTTTAGTTGATTTTGTTAATGACGAGAACTCTACTGCATATTGGTATAAAGTTCAGATTTGCTCGTATCTTAATCGAAATATCGTGACAGAAGCTCTTTAAAGTAACCATTATGTCGTTATCTCTCATCCGAACAAAACTATGGAATTCCTGCGGACGTATCAGTCATACCAACAGACTTGCAATGACAAAAAAGCTTCACAGCAATTGAAGTTATGTCTATGTACTCGTATCGTACTTTGAAATGTTCGCTGATTGCGTATTTTTTCTGCAACTTTGCTCGTCATGAGTAGGTCCACCATTAACATTAGAAATTCTGGACAAAAAGTTGGACATTGTAATTATAAGCAGGATTGCTAACATGTGCCGAAATATCGGGGAATCTAAAAAAACATGGTACTTGGTAGCAATCCCGTTAATGACTATCGAATTAATGAACTTCAGTTTATTAATTCGATATAAGGCCACATATGAAACTATTTCTCTGAGTAGGTAGCTATGTTTCATTACACGACGTTCAAAGGGATTGTAATGTTTTTTTAACTACTGCAGTGTAGTTAGTGTATTAGTAGTAGTTTTTGTTCCCGGGCTTGTATTAAATATAAATATAAACCATCCGTGATCCGTGAAAACAGCTTGAATTTCCGTTTGGCAATTAATTGAGGTCATCACAAACATACAGACAGATACCGCGGCGCAGTTCTTTGTTTTTTAAATCAGTCTGAAATTGTACATTTTCATGAGCAGGTATGCAGAAATGGAAGCAGGCTCCAAGAAACTCGGAGGTAGAACAAATTACATAAAAATATGAGAAAAATCCTTCTATGATGAAAATCTGGGCGAATGACTAGAAATCCGGAGGAATCGAAAAGGATGGTAACCCTTTTAATAAGAATTTTAAGACCACAGTCTGGAAATTATTATTATTATCATTAGGTAACATAAGAAATATTCGTTATCTTTTTTACCATAACGAAAAGCATATCTTTTTAAATATATTTTGGTGAAAAACCTAAAAATTATTCACAATTTTTTCAATAGAAAAAAAATAGAAATATATAGAGATGACGATTTATTTTTAATGGTGCCTTCTCATTTTTTAATAATATCCACATCACATCTTCATGATGTTAAGGATTCTAATAATACTGTAACCATTTAAATCTGTCGAGGTATTTGTATTTATGATATGGTGGTATAAGAAACTTAAATGAAGTCTGAAAACTTCACATTCTTTTTACCTGGCGTGAAAAAGCAATATTAACATTTTTTTTTTTACTTCAAGCATTAAACTGTTTGAATTATATAACCAAAGAAAAAAAATTGTTAGTAAAATGTCCACTCGATCTTAATATGTTGTTGGATTCCGGCAAACTCTGTTTTTTTTTCTGGAAAAATGTTCTGGAAATCATTGGAGTTGATGGCCTTTTAGATTTGAGAGTGTTGCACAGAACGGCCCCACGACTGCAAAGACTTTTGAACTTATTTTTAACTATTTCTCTGCTTCGTTCAGAAATACCGTTGAGCGAAGCTTTTCAGTGTAATATTGTTTGAACCATATTTTTTTTTTATAACATGGTTTACCTTTAATCTGTCTCGGGACGGGATTTTGTCACAGTATATAACATAATTTCACCCACATAGTCCGAAAAAACAGAAGGTGAATTTACATATTGACATGGTCGTTACGAAATTCCATACCTACGCAAAAATAGCATAAATAAGAATGTAAATTGTATGTTTATTATAATACGGCATGGTCTGCCGCCTTTTTGACACGTAAAAGTAATTAAGACCTG